CAGGTACCCTCAAAAATTATCCTTCAGTGTGGATGGTTGTGGTGTTCATGGAACTGGGGCATCATTTGAGCACCAAAAAACAGATCTGAGCTGCTGGAAGCAAGTCCCTCTGCCTTGTTTGGGAAGCAAAGGGATTTGTCAGGACATGCACGTGCCAAAGCTGCAGGTCCTGCAAGAGCCTTCTCCTTTTTCCCCTTCCTAAAACCCCAAACATTATTTATGGCTACAGAGCCAGCTAGGGCTGCAAACCCTTCTGAATGTAACAAACCCTACAGCCTCATCATTACCAGCAAAGCTCCCTGGTGTCCCCACAGGCTGGTGACACCAACCCTTCAGCTCCTCTAGGGACAAGGCTCAGCCCCACCACCTCCACCAGGAGCAGCCCAGGGTCTCTCCTGCCCCTCCAGCCTCTGCCTCCCTGTCCATCAGTGGGATTTTCCCTGTGCCAGCGCCAGCAGAGCCACATGCTCCCTGCCCCAGCCAAGGCTGGCACGGCACTGCCAAGGCCCCCAGACAATGCCAGGCCTGTGCCCAAGCCGTGGGCAGGGTTAATGCAGGGATTGCTGGTCAGGAGGGAGCTCAGGGAAGCAGCACCCGCTGAGGGAAGCAATGGGGGATGCATTCTGTGCTTTTAAACCTCACTCTGCAAATTTTGGGGAGCGGCTTGGATGGGTCCTGAGCTGGCACTGGCAGTGGAGATGCTTCCTGCATCTTGACAGGGCATTGTCCAGAGGGCAGGGAACTCCAGCAGCACCCACAGCCTGCTCTCCATGAACACCTTGCTGCAGCCATCACAGAATCCCAGAATAATTTGGGTTGGAAAGGGACCTCAAAGCTCATCCCATTCCAGCCCCTACCATGGGCAGGGACACCTTCCACTCTCCCAGGCTGCTCCAAGCCCCAGTGTCCAGCCTGGCCTTGGACACTGCCAGGGATCCAGGGGCAGCCACAGCTGCTCTAGGAAAACTGTGCCAGCACCTGACAGGGAAGAATTTCTTCCCAATATGCCATCCATCCCTGCCCTCTGGCAGTGGGAGTCATTCCCTGTGTCCTGTCCCTCCATACTTTGTCCCCAGTCCCTCTCCAGCTCTCCTGGAGGCCTTTTAGGTCCTGGAAGGGGCTCTGAGCTCTCCCTGGAGCTTTCCCTTCTCCAGGTGAGCACATCCAGCTCTCCCAGCCTGGCTCCAGAGCAGAAACATCCCAGTTGCTAAGATATCCTGGTTAATATCCCAGTTAATAGGCAGAAATACATTTCCCAGTGGGTTGATCCCTGGTTTCAAAGCTGACTCATCACTGTTCACTGGAAAAGTGAATATTTGGCTACAAAACTTTCCTGGGTATTGCCACCCCCTTCTCCCTGTGGCCAGGGACAGCACCCGAGGTAATGGCTGGAGCTGTGCCAGGGGGGTTAGGCTTGATTTAGGAAAGGTTCTTCCCCCAGAGGGTGCTGGGCACTGCCCAGGCTCCCCAGGGAATGGGCACAGCCCCAAGGCTGACAGAGCTCCAGGGGTGTTTGGACAACGCTCTCAGGGATGCCCAGGGTGGGGTTGTTGGGCTATCTGTGCAGGGCCAGGGGTTGGACTGGACAATCTTTGAGCATTCCTCCCAGCTCAGGAAATCCCATGATTCCATAAAAACCCATCCTACCTCCTCACCACCTCCCCTGGAGCCTCTGGGCCAGCCCACAAAGCTCAGGTGCTTTCAGGACAGATTTTGGGCAGGAAAGAAAAGGCAGGTGCCAAACCCGAGGTGAGGTTATTTGCATTCACTCCTGCGCCAGCTGCCGGCAGAAATCCACCCACGGAGCCAGGAGGCGACACAACTGTCAGACCCCTTGGAAACAGGGAGACTGGGAGGATGCAAATTCCCCTGCACATCCCGACCTCTCCAGCTGTCAGCTCCCTCTGCACAGACAGCCCCGGCCACAAAAAGCCTCTTGCCATATTTAAATGCTTTTCCCATTAAAAAAACAAAACAAAACAAAACAAAACACACACAGTGTCTAAACCACCTCCTTACCATCCACACAAGCTCTTGCAAGCACCCCCACCAGGCTAAAATAAATATTTTAGCTTCACAAATAGTTTTCCTCTCATTAAAAGGCAAACATAATTAGGATGTCGAGCGCCGGCTGCAATCACTCCATGCTGCTCCGGCTCTGGTTGATTAAAAGTAACGAAGCTGCTATTTTTGAAAAGCACATTCCCTTCCACAGCCTGAACGGGGTTATTTTGGAAATATATACCCATGGAAAGCTGGCATCTCTGCCTGCAAAATTCCCCAGCCAGGAGGGGATGCACTCAGCGGGTCCGTGGGATGGGGGTCATGAGAAAAGTGGGAATTCTTCTGCTGTGAGCAACCAAGGGGGTAAAGCTCGCTGTGGGAAGAACATGGAGACCCTGGAAAGCTGAGGGAATCATGGATGGTTTGGGTTGGGATGGACCTCAAAGTTCACCTCATGGGCAGGGACACCTTCCACCAAACCAGGGCTGCTCCGAGCCCCATCCAACGCTTCCAGGGATGGGGCAGCCCCAGCTCGTCAGGGCAAGCTGCTCCAGAGAAAAGGAGGAAAGAAGGAAAATGAAGAACAGGAGAGAAGAGCTGCCACCAGAGATGCTGTCCCCTCTGCAGGGTCTGGTACCAACACAGCTGCGCAGAAGCAAGAGCCAGGAGGAGATGTGCACATTCCGAGGATCCCGGAATTATTTAGGTTGGAAAAGCTTTCTGAAAGCTTCAAACCCAAGCATTAACCCAACTGCCAAACCCACCACTGACCCCTGTCAGACCTACAAGCCATCCCAGGAGGATGTTATTCTTATTACCAGTAATTTTTTCTACTTTAAGGCAAATTTAAACATCCCGCTGGTGAAGTCAGGCAGGAAGAAATCAAGGATGGATCCTTATTCTAGAGCCTCAGCATCCAGACAGAGCTGTCAACACAACACAGCCCCCACTCCAACTCCTACCCAAGCTGCTGCTCCATTCAGCATAACTGAATTATTAACTTGCAATGTATCTATTAATTAACAGCCAAAACTTAATCATTGCAAATCTCAGGGAGCATCAGCCACCTGTGGCGGGACAGGCTGGGGGGAAAGGCAGTGATGGGCATTCCAGAACTGGGAATTTGCATCCACCTGATCCCACATCCCACAGCTTCTCTGGGTTTCAGGGCTTTAATTTGGTTTAATTTGGGCACAGAAGAACCTCACAGTCACTGCTGTCCCCCTTTGGACCAAAGTTATGCCGAGCCTAAGTAACATCCACTTACTCCTGAATAGCCAGGGATCCCAGAAAATCGGTGTTCCCGGGAGCCCGAGGCTGCAGCACACCACACACCTGCACAACTCCACCTCTCCCACCCAGCTCCATCCCGGCAGCAACAGCTGGGCAGCCAAGCCCTGCGCAGCATCCCTCGCTCCCAAAGCATCCGCCCGGGCAGCCAGCAAGGAGCAAAGAGGTCAGCGAGCCCTCGGTGAGCTGGGAAAACCCTCCTGGAAACGGAATGCCAGGAACAGCCGGTGGAGTGCCCTTCAGGAAGCTCTACAGCTTCCTGAAGGGAGGTTGCAGACAGGTGGGGGTCGGTCTCTTCCACCGGGCGGCAACTGGCAGAACAAGAGGACACAGTCTCAAGCTACGTCAGGGAAAGTTTAGGCTGGATATTAGGAAAAAAATTTTCACTGAAAGAATAATAAAATACTGGAATTGTCTTCCTAGGGAGGTGTGGAATCACCATCTCTGGATATGTTTAAAAAAAGACTGGACTTGGCACTTGGTGCTATAGGCTAGTTGTGGTGTTAGGGCATAGGTTGGACTTCATGATCTTAGAAGTCTCTTCCAACCTCATTATTCTGTGATTCTGTGAGTGCTGCTCAAAGAGCCCCGAACTCCCCGGAGCGTCCCAGCTGGGGCCGATAAGGAAGACAGGAGCCAGCCCAGCCCGGTCCCTCTGCGCTGACACGTCCGGGGACACCGGCAGGGTGACAACCCGGGCGGCGGGGTGACAACCCGGGCAGCTGTCCCCTCGCGGCAGTGCCAGCGGGACCTGGGGGACAACGGGTGTGCACCCCACGGAGGGCACGGCACCCCCACGGCGCTGCACACTCGCCACACGGCATCTCCCCGGAACGGGGACACGGAGCCATGCGTGTCGCGGCCACATTCACACCTTGACACACCACATGGCAGCGGGGACACAAGGCAGGGACACGAACACCGAGCACAAAACGCGGCAGGAGACACGCTATACACATAGGGACACAGAGGGACACAGTCACACGCACACAGGGACACACACACAGTCACACACGCAGGGGACATGCGGCACGCACAGCCACCCAGGACACACGCACAAAGTGGCACACAGAGGACACACGACACACTCGGACACCAACAGGACGCACACACAGCGACAGCCCCACAGAGGACACCGAGAGTGTCACACACACACAGTGCCACACTGCCACACGCGGACACGCGACACTTGTACACAGTCACACACACACAGAGGGCACTTCACACAGACAGGGGACACGCGGTGTCACAGTGTCGCACGCACACAAACACTCACACTCTCGCACTCTCGCTCTCCCCAACCCCCTCCCCGCGCTCCGCCGCTGGCTCAACCCCGACCCTCCACCGCCGCCGTCCTCCCGCCGCCGCCGCCGCTACAAACTTTTCCCCGGCGGCCCTGGGAGCCCGCGGGGAGCCGCTCCCATGGCCGGCAGCCCCCGAGCTCGCCCGGCTCCGGCTCTCACCTGCGCCCGCTCCGACCGCGGCAGCACCGGGACCTGCCCCACCGCGCTCCCGGCACGGGCCGCGCGCGCCGGCCCGCGCTGACGTCACGGGGCGTGGCCGGGGCGTGGCCCCCGGCGGGGCGGCAGCGCGGGGTACCGGGGGTACCGGGGGTACCGGGGGTACCGGGGGTGCCGGGGGTACCGGGGGATACCGGGGATACCGGGGTACCGGGGGTGCCGGGGATGCCGGGGGTACCGGGGGTACCGGGGATGCCGGGGGTGCCGGGGGTACCGGGGGTGCCGGGGATACCGGGGGTACCGGGGGTACCGGGGGTACCGGGGAGATGCTCGTGTAAAACACGTGGGGAGGGGAGGAGGACGGGAAAAGCGGGATGGGGGAGTGGGCAGCAGCGTCTTTGTGCGAGGGGCGAGTGCCAGCCCCGCCCGCTCAAACCTTGCGCGCTGGGCAGCTGAGGGTTTATGCCTCCCCCCGCGCCGTTTGTTTTTGGCCGTTTTTGTCACGGAAGCGAAGCTGCGAAATCCTGGTAGAGCAGAAATCCCGCCCTTGTTGCTCTCCCAGGGTGGGAAGGGCAGGAGAAACGCGGAGGAAAACGCTAAACTCTGGTTTCTTGCGTTAACCACGGTCGGAGAGCGATTCAACTTCCCACAGCACCCAACGCAGGAAAAAGGGGGAAAAGGGGCTTGTGCTCCCTAAAATCCCATCGCTTGAGGGAGCATCCCACGCTGGGGTTGTGCTGCCTGGCTGGGATGCAGGGTTAGGAAATGGGCTACCAGGAGCATCAGCACAACAGGACAGGCATGGATACAAAATGCACCCAGAGATGGTGGCCACCAAGACCACCACAGTGACCATCTCCCGTCGGAACACCCTTTGGAAAAGCAGCTGAGTGAGAAATATCGGAGCAGATGGGTCCGGGCTACTTGAGCCGCTGCTCTTTCCCACCGCCTCCTTGTTTTTTCCTGGGTTTAATCGAGATCTGATGATTAAATTTCCTCTTCCTGGTGCTGGCTCCTCCTGCACCCAGCACGGCAGAAAGAGACAGAGTTTTGGCTGGGCTGGGACAAAAGTGGGGTGGCTGTGAGTCCTTGCATGGCCAGACCCCATCCCAGAGGTCAGCTGGGACTTCCCAGCCTCATCCCAGCTTTTATCTGGCTCCCCAAAATGAGCCACACAGAACCACTTCAAAGCACCCTCGGGAGCTCTTTTCTGCGGCATTATTTTGGGAGCTTTGGGGTTTCTCCAAGGGGAGCTCCCTGCAGCCGGATAACCCGGTTCTCTACCTGCAACAGGGCACTTCTATTCTGTTTTGCCAGTGGAAAACACTGGGATGGCACCTGGGATGCAGCTGGGCTGGGTGCTGCCCCCATCCGTGCCTTGGCACCAAGCCTGGGGTGCTCCTGTCCCTCTGCTCTCGCAAAACTCTCATTAAAATCAGTATTTCAGTTGCTGGTTTATTCCTCTTTTCCATCTCTAGTGTGATTCCCCATCTCTTTGGATACTGCAAAGTCCAAATTTATTCCTGTCTCGGGCTGGCACCTTGAGTGGCTTTGGGGACAAAAGTGTCTTTTCCAATGGGCTGCAGGAGGTGTACGAGAATCTGCAATTCCAGCTCAGCATCCTCATGATCCCTTGGGAAAAACCACATCTCCAGGTGCCAAAACCATGCTCGGACTCCATGAAAAATCAGCAATTTGTGGGTGACAATGATTGCTTATCCTGGGAGCAGCTTTCCCAGTGCTCAGGATGTGCCTTGGGCACGTTGCTGGTGCCGAGCCTGGGATGGAGGGATGAGCATTCCACCTGTACCCATCCCTCTCTGTTCTCTGAGCTGTTTGCAATGCCCAGGAGTTAGTCCAAGCAAGGAAGTGATCCCGGGGAACAATTAGCTCTGGACAAAATGCTCTGAGGAGCCCAGGCTTTTCTGGAATTCCATCCTGCAGGAATTCCATGGTAAAGTTCATTATGTGGTAAAGCACATTCCCCTCTGTGGTGTTTTTCAGGCTCAAATCTGGGTGGAAATTGTTGGTTCCTGACAGTTCTTAAGAACAGGGCTGGTCCAGGATGACATTCCCCTGGGTCTGGTGTGTGAGTGCAGCCAGCTTTTTCTGGGAAGAGAGCAGCTCCTTTCTGCTCTGATGCTGCCTTGGGAATTGTGGACAGGAGCTGGACATCCGGACCTTGGTCTGATGAGCCCGAGACTCAGCAACACCAATCCCCTCCCCAGGGCTGAAGCATGGATCCTCCTCACCAGGAGGATCATGGAATCCCAGAACCATGGAATGGTTTGGAGCCCATCTCATTCCAACTCCTGCAAGGGCAGGGATGCTCTCACAGACACTGCAGCAGCTCAGCCATGAACCCTGAGCTCCTGAAACTTTCCAGAAGGGAGAGTTCCCAAAGCTGAACCTGATCAAATCCACTTCCACGTGGAATATCAGAACACACCAAGCTCCATGTTTGTTGCTACGGCCGCAGGGAGTGCTTTTCCATGATCCTGCAGTTTTGGTAGGGATCCAGCGAACCCCTGAGCCCGGGTCATGCTCTGGATGGCTTTCTGGAGCTGGGGAAGCACCTGCTTGGCTGCCAAGGTACATTTAATAATGCTTGGTTAGTGCAGCACTCCCAGCAAACTCCCTGGGGCGAGCTCTTCCCAGGCCAGCCTTCCCCTTGCTGCGAATTAATTACAGCCCTGATGGTTAATGACGAAAGAGAGGGATAACTGGCAGGGTTTATGTCCCTCTTCTCCTGTGGAAGCTGAGTTATTGACTCCTTCCTGGGCAGCAGCAGCTCTTTGCATCCCGAGGCAGGGATCGAGGCTCTGGAGCATTACTGCCACAGGCAACGCTTACAGGTGTTTGCTCAAAGGTACTTGGGGTTTAGGAGCTGGATAAAGCCAATAAATTCCAACAAGATTTATTCTGTAGGTGTAACATTCCTGCCTCAAAGCCAATTACCCACAGAAGTGCCTCGTAAACGAGGCTCGCAGCATTTGGAACTGGCAAACAAACTCTATGCCAGGCTCCCCACATGGATTATTTCTGCTTCCTTTTCAGAATTCCATTATGCCGGGCTGGAATTAAAGCAGAGCGGATTTACTCCTCCTTCACCCATCTCCACCTGATTTCCTCTTGTAGCTGGGAGCCTGGAGGGTTTGCTCCTGTTTCATCCATGGCAATGGCAGCAATTCCCTACATGATATTGGCAAGCCTGGCCTCTATTTTTGTGAGAGGGCAGGGATGGATGGGCTGTTGGGAAGAAATCCTTCCCAGCGAGGGTGGGCAGGCCCTGGCACAGGGTGCCCAGAGCAGCTGTGGCTGCCCCTGAGTCCCTGGAAGTGTCCATGGCCAGGCTGGACAGGGCTGGGAGCCACCTTCAGGTAGTGGAAGGTGTCCCTGCCTGTGGCAGGGGGTGGAATGAGCTTTAAGGTCCCTTTCCAATTCAAAACATTCCATGATTCATAAATCTGTGACTAGATTGGTGCCAAAGGGAAGGGAAAGCTGTGGGAAGGCGGGGCTGATATCACCTGTGATCACCCCAGGATGGGGTTTGTGAGGTGACAGGAACACCTGGCCAGGTAATAACCACTTCCTGCTAATAACAGGGATTAGTTTTTTAAGCCTGATGAGGACGTGCATGGAGCAAAGGACAGAGCTTCCGGAGAGGCTTTTAATATCTCTGGCTGTCTGACATCAGCTGAGAGAGTAAAGGAACAAAGGACAGCAAAGAGGTGGAGGGGATAGGTGAAAGATCTTGAACAGGGACAGGTCTTGAACCTTCTCTGCTCCTAAGGGAAAATCCTGCAGTGTCCTTCCCCCGCTGCCCTCAGGTTTGCACACAGATCCTGCCCCCATCACACCCCTCACAGGGTACAAATCCCACCCTGTCCCGTGGGAAGGGATGGGTTTTGGAGAGATTTGCATCAACCTCCCTCCTCCTGGAAGACTACTCCACATGGCAAAGACCTTTACAATAACCAAAATCCTAGAATTCTAGAATGGTTTGGGTGGGAAGGAGCCTTAAAGCCCATCCTGTTCCACCCCCTGCCATGGCAGGGACACCATCCACTGTCCCAGGCTGCTCCAAGCCCCAGTGTCCAACCTGGCCTTGAGCACTGCCAAGGATCCAGAGGCAGCCACAGCTGCTCTGGGCACCCTGTGCCAGGCCTGCCCACCCTCACAGGGAACAATTCCTTCCCAGTATCCCGTCCATCCCTGCCCTCTGGCAGTGGGAAGCTGTTCCCCCTTGTCCTGTCCTTCGAGGCCTTTGTTCAAAGACCCTCTCCAGCTCCCTTGGAGCTTCTTTAGGGTTTTTTTAATCTTGGTAACCAAAATCCTTCCTTTTAAGGCACCATTCCCAGTAAATCACCCAGTTCCGTTTTCCTCGTCACCCTTTAGAAGCCAAGGAATCCCTGTCCTCACCTCCCTGGCTGCCTGGCCGCTCACATCAGCAGGACCCACAACCCACAAGTTAACGCTGCTCTTCCCCTTTTTCTCTTTCCTCCTCGAGTCCTGTCCCACAAAATAAAACAGCTTTTGTTCCCACTGGAGATTCTCCTGGCAACAGAGGCACGGAAGCTGCAAATAAAAAAAAAGAAAAAAAAATTCCCAGACTCAATGACAGCTCTATCTAAAAGCAACCACCAGGATGAGGCTGGTTCATCATCGTTAGGGGAGAGAGCACTGGGATAATGGGAACAGGGAAATCATTGCTGGTTATGAAGGCTTCCCAGATGGATAAGTAGCCCTGGCTAGCAGAGGGGGCATGCAAAAGGGGTTGTTGGTGCATCCTTGTGAATCTTGACGTGAGAGTGAGATGTCTCCAGCCTCCTCCCTCCCTTTACCAACAGATTCCAGATTGTGGGATTTCCACAGTTAGGCTCCAGCAGATTTCTGTGGGCCTGGAAAAAGCCCAGGGCTTGCAGGAGGGAGTTAGAGGAGCAGAAAGTCCTGTTTTTCAGCCAAGAATACTTTTGTCTTTAGCTAAACATCCTCCAAGGCTGCCTTTCCCTGCCCCTCAGAGGCTCGGAGCAGCCCTTTCTCCACCTCTTTCGGGCTGCTGATTCCCAAATTTTCCCTCCACATATAAAGATTCTCTGGGGCAAAGGCATGGGGAGCAAGAGCCATTGAATGATGCTGCCAAGGGATGCACCTTTATTTGTTATGATCATTTACTCCCTTCCCTCAGATCATTGCCAGAGCCCTTCCACTTTCCAGACAGCTCTGTGATAAAACGGGAAAGTTTCCCTCCTTAAGCAGTGTTAAGACACAATAATTCCCCGTGTTCACTGACAAACAGCCTCGTTTATGGCTGTTGCTGAGCTCCTGCACTAATCAATGGGGTTAATTGAATTGATGACTGTGCTGGCTTGTGTTCAGAGCAGCTGCTTCACATCATTAGCCCCGTTTAAGGAGAGGATCTGCCTGTGGTCATTTCCACTGGATTTCTGCTCTGGGTGTCCCCACCAGTGTGGCTTGGGGCAGGGACAGGCATTTGGAAGACCCTGGCACAAATACAGGGCAAGCTCAAAACAAGCAGCATTTTGTACAAATTCATCCCAGGAATACTAGGTGGAAGTGTTTCGGGATAACAGCAGAGGTTAAAAGTATCAGCTCCCTTGGCTACCTGCTATTCACTTTGAAAAAGGGCTCAGGACTCAAAAGATAAAGGAGAAAATAAGGATTCCCTGGTTTTTAGAGAGAGAGGAAAGTGAGAGAGAGGAATCAGACCAGGTTGGGCAGGGACTGGAACAGCCTGGTCTAGTGGTAGATATCCCTGACCGTGGCAGAGGGGTGGAAGAAGATGAGGTTTTAGATCCCTTTCCAAAGTATCCTGGGATTTCCTGATCAGTCCCATGTAGCTCAGCAAGGACACAATGCTGAAGTTTGCAAGTGTGCACATAATTCAGGGTATTTCCAGTGATTTCAGGTGATCTCAAGCCCAGTTTGAGGGGCTGACAAATCTTTCAGCCCAAACCTGTGCCGAGATAAAACTGGGGACATTTATTGCCAGGACTAGGGGGACAAAGCAGTGATGCTGATGCTCAGATTTCCCTCGTTTCCCCTGGCAGGGTTTGAAATCCATAACCAATTTCCCTACTTCACCAGGCATCCTGGAGCAACCCCCAAGGTGACTGTTTTGCCACACAGGTGCCTGTCCTGGGTGGTTTTTCCACCCTGCCAAGGACAAAGAGCATCCCAAGTGAGTTTTATCATTCTAAAATGATGTTAAACATCAGCTGCCAGGTACAGCTCCACACACTGCCCTGCCCGTGGAGCTCCCAACAAAGCTGGCTTATCCAAAACTCTGCTTGGCTGAGATTTAAGCCAGTCAGAGATAACCACTCAGCTGTTCCTTCCCTCAATGCCGCCTCTGGCCTGGTGGAACACACTTCCTTTCTGTGCCGCCAGATTTGCTTTTCAATGCCCCATTATGTCCCGAGGTCACGGCAGATCGAGGAGTTTGCTCGGCTGCCCTGCAAAGAAACAGAGTCACAAGAATTATATTTTTATTCTCTTTTTTTTTCTCCCCATTTAATAACTGCATGTGCTGAGCCTGAATTGCTTTCTTTAAGCATATGAAGGAGAGCAGCGAGCGCCCGGCTCTGCGTTTTTCTTGGCACTCTATTTTCTAAGCCCATTATTCGCCCTCCTTTTCTCCAGCAAAGAAATGCTCAGTTCTCTTCCAGCTGCCAGGATCTCATTTAGTTCCCAATGCCATGGGATTATTAGCATGGATGTTAAGAGACCCTCCCTGCAATAACAGTGACCACCAACCCATCAGCTGAGCGTGCCACCAGCACAAATGGCACAATTCCCATTTTAAAGGTGGGGAAATTGGAGGGAGGTAGCATTTATTAAGCTGCTTCTGTTGTGGTGGGCACCCTGTGGAAAAGATTTGGGATTTGTGTGGTCTGTTCAAGCCGGGGATGGAGCAGCAGATGGGAGCAGCATGGTTTTGGGGCAAAATGTCAGTTTCTTTGAAGGCAGGAGGGAAATGCCTACTGGCTTTCACCACCAGCCACCGCACGGCCAGGGGTCTGCAGACCTGCGGCTGGAGCCTGTCTGGTGGCATTCCCTTGCCAGCCTCTCTGTACTATTAATTGTGGCCATGAGACTGCATGGTTTCCAAGCTCTCTGGCTCCAGTCTGCCATGTGGGAAGGAGCTGGGATGCAAACTGAATTCCCCCTGCAACACTTCCTGACAGGTCCCGCATCATTTATGCCTCTGGCAATGCTCAGATCCATCCTGGGTGATGCTGGGGCTCTCACAAAGCATCCTCTGAGCAGCTTTATTTTGTGGGACAGTGTGTTTCATAGGATGCAGAAATCTTCTTCCCCCTGGACTTGGCATTCCTACTCCTGCCAAGGCTCCAGCTGCAGAGCCAAGCAGCCTGACCGGTTTTCCACCTGCGAATTTCTGGCAGATCTTCTGACACAAAGCTGAGAGTGAGTGGTTCTTGGGCACTGGCAGCCCCCAGATATTCCTGGAAAACTCTCTGCAATCTTCCAAAGGTGAGGTTTATGCAATTCCTTTCCCGTTACAAATCTCATCTCCTCAACTAGTTTTCATCACTTCTCCATGCAGATGTTTGCTGAAGGTGAGGTCCAAGCCACCAGACTTTCTGAGGAGCCTTCAAGGTTGGACTTGAGGATCTTGGAGGTCTTCTCCAGCCTTCATGATTCTGTGGTTATATCTAAAATCTGATCTGACACAAGGATAAATCCATCCTGGTGAAATTTTATACGGAAAACCATCTGTAAATGTCTTTGCAAGGAAAAAAAACTGCACAAGGTGCTCATACCTTATTAAACACCAGAAAACTCACATTGAGTAAGATGTAAAAGTTATAAACATCCCCAAATCCATTGCTGAGTGAGTTTTTTGGAGACTTTGAGACATGGAAGGAGCAAGTAAACAAGCTGCGATTTTCCTCTCTGCATGCAGGAACATCTTCAGCATGGTGGAAAGTGCAATCAATAATTGAGTGAGAAGCCACACAGCTCAGAGCTCTCACAAAGCACAGACTGAGCATCCAATATTTATTTTCAAGCCTTAAATAATGCATTTGCAAATGCTTCTAACTGGATATTTTAAGGCAAACAAATT